GGATCAAATCCAGGGCCTTGTACACTCTCTGTAAGCATTCTGGCTTTAAGCATTCAGTATATTTGCACCGTGATGCAGACATCACCACCATGCGACCATGTGGTCCCAGAGCTTATTTTTCTTCAACACTGACAGGTCCCTTGCCCCTCCCCCAGTCTCTGGCTACCACCTCTGTACTTCTGTCCCTGTGACTTTAGCTACTCCAGGTGCCTCATAGAAGTGGAATCCTGCAATGTGTGTCCTATACCATGTTTCACTTAGCATGAGTTAATTCACTAACTTTGAGTTTATAAAAAGTTTATAAAGCTAACATGAGCTTTAGCATGTGCCAGAATTTCCCTTCCATTCTGTTGCATGCATTCACCCCGTTTTGTGCATCCAGTCACGAGCTGATAGATACTTGGGTTTCTTTCTTTTTTCTTTTTTTGGTTTTTTGAGACAGGGTTTCTCTGTAGCTTTGGGGCCCGTCCTGGAGCTAGCTCTTGTAGACCAGGCTGGCCTTGAACTCACAGAGATCTGCCTGCCTCTGCCTCCCAAGTGTTGGGATTAAAGGCATGTGCCACCACTGCCTGGCCTTTGGGTTTCTTTTATTTAACTAGTGTAGATATTGTGCTGAGCCTTAATGTACAAGTATCTAAGATCCTACTTCTATATCCATAGAAAGTAAGATAAATAAATTAAAAAAGAGGGATGAGAATGTGTCTTAGTGGTAGGGCGCTGTTTGGTATGTGTGAGGCCCTAGGTTCAATCTGCAATGGGGGGGGGGAGTGTTCTGGGATATTTGATCACACTGTGATACCCCAAGACTGTTAATAAAGTTAACTTTGAATCGGGGTGGCGTAAATGACTAGCTGACTGGAATTAACCATAGAGATATTGGAGAACTTAGGATATGATAGAGAGCCACAGGAAGGAATAGGGAAGGGCTTGGAAAGATTTGCAAGTCTTTTCAATCTGGGAAGCATGGAAAGGAAGGGTCAGCTGGTATGTTTCTCCACTGCTTGCTTGATCTATCGGATTTTTACCCCAGTATCTGACTCCCGAATTTTTACTAATAGTAGAAAAATTTAGATAAATGCTTCATCAGTGGAATTGTTGGATTGTATGGTGACTCCGTTGAACCCCCTGCTGTGTTTTATTCCTGGCCTCAAGTCAATATCCTTTTCTTCCCTAACTGTATCTTTTGCTTTATTAATGATGTGTGTATATACACATGCATGTGCCCACATACCATGGCGCTCATGTGGCGGTCAGAAAATACCTTGGAAGAGGTGACTGTCTCCTCCACCTCTGTGTAGGTTCTGAGATGCCAGGTTCTTTACCCACTGAGCCATCTCACCAGCCCCAACTCAGATGTTTTGGGCCTAGATCCTTCCCTGACAGATATGGCCCAGCAAGATCTGAGACCACCTTCCTTAGATGCTTATGAACAGACAGTTCCCCTTATTGTCTGGGAGAGTGTACCCTTGAGTCTCCCACAAGTGTCTAATGGAGAGCCTTGCTCACCTGAGCAGTGACATCAGGGTTAGCCTTGGTTTTCTGTCGGACCAGCTTAGCATCTGTATTTCAAAAGTAAATGAGTGTACACCATCCCAGCAGTTCACTTTGGACATATTACAAGCCAACTGAGACAGAACACTTGCACCCCAGCGTTCAAAGTGGGACCAGTTTTTATTAGGACAATGTTTTTTGATGATATTTACTCTCTCCCCTGGCTCCCTCCAGATCCACCTCCACTTCCTGCCCTCCCCTTTTTAAACCCACTGTGGCGGTTTGCATAGGAACGGCCCTCATAGACTCACGTGTATAAACACTTGGCCCATAGGGAGTGACACTGTTAGGAGGTGTGGCCTTGTTGGAGCAGGCGGGTGCTGGGAACTCGATCCTCTGCAAGAATAATAACACATGCTCTTAACCACTGTGCCACATCTCCACTCCCAAAGTGGCATCATCAAAAAAGGGAAATAAACATTTATTTTCCTGGCTCTGGGAGTGTAATTTGGAGCCCCACACAGTGTAGATAAGGGCTGTACCCCTGAGTTATATTCCTAGCCCTAGATCTTTGAATTTTAAGTGAAAAAGAAGGCAAATGAGGTCTATACCGAGTCAGTTTTGGCTAATCCATGGAAATCGTTGTTTGTTTGTTTTGAGGTAGTGTCCCAAGCTGTATAGCCCAGGCTGACCTTAAATTTGCTGAGATATTTCTGCCTCAGCTTTCTGGATGTTTGGGATTCCAGGCATGGGCCACCATACCTGGGTACTTGGCATTATTAAGTGATCACCCATCGTCCTTTGATGCCTTGGGGTCCTGGACTGGCCCATCTGGAACCTGAAGGCATCCTGTTATCGCCAGACATGGGGCACCTATAATATGGATTCTCAGAGGTCATCACCAGTCGCACAGAGATCTTAACTGTCTGCTTTGTAGAGTAACTCTTTCAACAAGACTCTGCCCAGTGGGGGCTCAGAGGGCTTGAGGAAGAAATGGCCAATAAGAGAGGGTGGTGAATTCTGGCACCAGAAAAGGACACACAATGAATGCTACTGGGGAGCAGGAAGGTCACGGAGGAGAGGCCTTGTGTTGGCAATGGGTGGAACAGCATGAATCAGTCACTGTGGCTAGAATGGAGGGAGTCAGTGTGTCAGGGAGTCCTGCCTGGACCCTTCTCCAGCATGACAATGTAGGCTTTAAATGCCACTGCCCACGGTTAGATTTTTAGTTGCCCACAGGCTGCATTTCTTTGTGAAGTGTGATGGTTCTCAACAGAGGTACTTTTTCATTCTGGGGGTGGGAACAGATGGATAGTGGAAAAGACTGAATATAATTTTTTAAAAAACATGGTAATAGGTGCATAACAAAAATGACTCCTTCAAGCTGGTGTAGTTGCACACAGCTGCAGTCCAGCTCTTGGGAGGTTCAGAGTGAGCTTGAAGCTGGTCTGAGCTACAGAGCGGAGCCCTGTCTAAACAGGCAGACACACACACACACACACACACACATATATATATATACATACACGCACACACACACATATATATACATACACACACATGCATACACACACACACACACACACATATATATATATATATACACACACACACACACACAGGAGCGGGGAGTGGAATGGTGGATGGTTCAGTGGCTAAGAGTGAGCACTGCTCTTACAGATGACCCAAATTTGGTTCCAAGCACGCACATCAGGTAGTTCACAACTTCCTGTAGCTCCATCTCAGGTTGAAGTGAAGCCTCTGGCTTCTCTGGGTACCTGCACTCATGGGAACATACCCACACACAGATTCACATACATACACATAGTCTAAAATAATAAAAATAGCCGGTTGTCGTGGCGCATGCCAGTAGGATTTGCTGAAGGAGGCAGAGGCAGGAGGATTACGAATTCAAGGCCAGCCTGGGTTACACATTAAAATAAAATAATAATAATAATAATAATAATAATATAATATAGCCGGGCAGTGGTAGAGCATGCTTTTAATCCCATTACTCGGGAGGCAGAGGCAGGTGGATCTCTGTGAGTTTGAGGCCAGCCTGGTCTACAAGAGCTAGTTCCAGGACAGGCTCCAAAGCTGTAGAGAAACCTTGTCTCAAAAAACCAAAACAATCGTCATCATAATAATAAACAAAGGAAATAAAATGACCATTTTAACCATTCAAGTGAACACAGTTCGGGGCACTAAGCATGTGTAGTGTTGTGCCAGTAACTTGACCCTTTCCTTTTCACCCACTCAGCCACCTCTCCAGCCCCAGAAAACACCCTTCAACTTTCTGTCTCTAGGAGTTTGCCTACCGTCCTTCTGTGACTGACTGAATTCACTTATTGTGGCGTAGCCCAGGGTCACCTGTGCTGCAGCATGCAGCAAAGTCCTCTTCCTTTTTACCTCCGAAGACCATTCCATTCCGGAACCATTCCATCCTGCGCTGTGTGGGTGAGCGCATTGTGCTTATCAGTCCATCTGACCCCAGCTCTTGCCTGTGGAGACCTCATTGATTGATTCATTCTTTTTGTTTTGCTTTTGTTTTTCAAGACAGGGTTTCTCTGTGTAGCCCTGGCTGCCTTGGAATTCACTCTGTAGACCAGGCTGGCCTCAAACTCACAGAGATCCAGCTGCCTCTACCTCCCTGAGTGCTGGGATTAAAGGTGGGTGCCACCACCTTCTGGCCTCTTATTTGTTCTTTAAAGCAAAATGTTCAGAACCTGAGCAATAAGGGGTTTCTGGGAAGTAGGAAGTAACAGGAAATATAAGAAGTACTCGTTGGGAAGGAGCCACGGAGCCCTTGGGCAGTTCCATGAGGCCGTAGGTGTTGAGAAGGGACCTGGGTAAGAAAGGCTGGGAGGAGTTGCGGAGCAGGCTTTTGAGGACGGCTAGCCCACGGAGAAGGGGTCAAGGTAAAACTATCACTTCATGAAGCTGGTCTTATTTCCAGGCAGCCGTCCTTGGGCTAGAGTGTCAGCCAGGAGAGGGGCTGTCCTCCCCGCGAGGACAGCCACCCACACAGCCTTGAGGAATCAGTCCAGGAGATAAGTGACCCGGAAGTAGAAGCCCGGAAGACAAGCAGGAGAGTGAGGGGGCTGCCAGGAATGGCTGCTGCAGAAGCACCAGGATGGGCTGTCGCTGAGTGTAGCATCTGCTGGGTTTCAGAGTGTGCCCCACTGCACGCCCAGAGTCCAACATCTGGAGGTGATAGGTCTGTGTGGGTTGACTGAAAATGAAAGAGATGAAGGAGATAAAGTACATGAGAATCAAAATGGCGAACGAGGCCCGTTTTGAGCAGGCAAAGCACCAACAGTTCTTGCTAAAAGAGGGGTGTCTTCCGATGAGGTAGCCTTGAGGGGTCACTTACGGTGAAGTGGTCTCAAGAACCGTGCAAAGCAGGCGGCAGTTGAATTACTTTTCAGTGGCTAAAGCCGAAAGAGTCACATATCTGGAAAACCAGCGTGTATTGTTTTGCCCTAACCTTGCCTCCTCTGACCGTGCAGGTATGACGCTGGAAAGGATGGCTTTATCGACCTGATGGAACTGAAGCTCATGATGGAGAAGCTGGGGGCTCCCCAGACCCACCTGGGCCTGAAGAGTATGATCAAAGAGGTGGATGAGGACTTCGATGGCAAGCTCAGCTTCCGGGAGGTACCTATGGCCGGCTGAGCCTGAACAGACCCCCAGTCCTCCACAGCCCCTGAGTGCAAATGGGTTTGCCTCTTGAGAATGCTCTTTGAAAGGATATTTAATCTTCAGCTCGGCTTTTAAATATGTCTTTTGTAAACTGTGTGGGTGGCATGTTCCTATGATCCCAGCTCTTAGGAGATAGAGGAGGATCGTGGGTTGAAGGCTAGCCTAGCTTACATAGTGAATTACATGAGATCTGTCTCAAAAAAAAAAAAAAAACTTTCATGGTAGCTTATGTCTAGAGTCCCAGTACATGAAGACTGAGCCAGGAGGATCGCTATGAGTTTCTGCCTATGAGCCACTTTGCCTGACTGCTTATATAATGTTTTTCAGTGTGTATAGGCTTTATTGGAAGACTTAGTGATGTTTCAGTTGGACATGATGTCATATAACTAGTGACAGCATCCTAATGACAAGATGATAGAAATAGACCATTTTCCGCTTTCCCGTTGTAGGGTCTGAATCAGCCAGGCCCTTGGGATTGAGAGCAGTACTCTTTTATTTTTTCTTTGAATTCCAACACTGACTGATGACTTAGACATCTTTCTAGCAAGAGCAGTACTCTGAACCACTGAGCCACCTCTCCGGTTTCCTCTCTCCTGTTTCATTCCGAGGCCACCCATAGGTGATCCACCTGAATCTAAGCTGCTTGGCCATCTTTTGGTTAGCTACTGTGTCTCACAGACACGGACAGCCAGGGCTTAGAGATCACTAAAGCAGTTTTGTCAGCTTTTGACTCCTGTGAGAAGCTCCAATGACATTCACATCAATCCTTTGTGAGCTCCAAGCCCTGTCTTGGTCCCACGTCTAGATTGTCCTGCATCTGTGGGCTGTATAAGGACATATGACCATCTAGACCTCCCCCACAAGCTTTACCCTGCTCTGTGATTTGCTTTGCTCTGTATACAACAAGCCACCTGCAGGCAGATTTCAAGCTGTCAGAGCAGTGTGTGTTCCTTGAGAAAGTTCTTTTCTGGGAAGCAGAATCTATCCCAGGCTGGCTTCAGACATTTGATTCTGCTCCTTCAGCTCCCCAAGTGCTGAACCTATAGACTTGTACTACATGCCTGGTCACCTTGGAGTACTGTTTTTTTTTTTTTTTTTTTTTTTTGAGACAGAATCACACTCTGTAGTCTAGACTAGTCTAGAACTCACTGTGTAGCCCAGGCTGACTTTGAACACATAACAATCTCTCTATATTAGCCTCCTTAGTGTTAGAGGTTATAGGCATGTATCACCATAGTCCACTGGGGTGTGTGTGTGTGTGTGTGTGTGTGTGTGATATTAGGGGTGAGGAGAGTTAAGACAGGGTCTTAAAGACATTGTTTACAAATTGTTACATGAAGAGCCGGCTTGTTGGTGTATCTGTCTCGTCTGGCACCCCATAGCCGGCATACCCCAAAGAAAATCACACACAGGACTCCATAAGATTATAAACTGATTGGCCCATTAGCTCAGGCTTCTTATTAACTAATTTTTACATCTTACAGTAATTCATAATTCTTGTCTGTGTTAGCCATGTGGTTCAGTACCTTTTCCAGCGGGGCAAGTTACATCTTGCTTCTCTGTGGGTCTGGGCAGGAATGGTGGAATGGGCTTCCTCCTTCCTAGCCTTCTCCTGTTCTCATTGCCCCGCCTCTACTTCCTGTCTGGTTGACCCACCTATACTTCCTGCCTGGCCAATCAGCGTTTTATTAAAATATATGATTGACAGAATACAGATAATTCTCCCACATCACTTCCCCCTCCTTTTTAAAAAAAAAAACAAAGGAAAATATTCATAGTCCATTTGTTGGGAATGTGGGCATAGTATTCCAGGCTACTTCTGGCTGGTTGGGGGTGCTGATAATCTTATGGGGACCTAAAGAAAATTTAGAGTTATAATCAAGTCCTAACTGGAGTATCCTGTGAGACCTGATCATCTCAGGCAGCATCTTGAATCCGTTCTGGATGTAGAACTCAGACATCTGGGTCATCTGTTCCTACTGGAGATTCCTCAGGTGGTCTTTCTTGATCAAATTAGATTTTTCTTAACTCAGAATGAATCCATAGCCTCTCATTTTCTGTGGAAACAAAAGCAAAATCTCTTCTCCAAAGTAATATACCTTTTGACTTCAATTTTGACGTAAAGGTATTTTCAGAATACCTATCTTGAATTAATTCAGCAGCATTTTTTATAAACACATATCTTTTAGTAGCTGTTGTTCCTTCCTCATCTTTTCTGTGTATTTTTCATCTTTGTGTGGTTTTATTTTCCTCTTTTTTTATTTTCATTTTTATTTTTTGAGACAGGTTCTCTGTATGTCTTTGTCCTGGAATAATTCTGTAGACCAGGCTGTCCTTGAACTCATGGAGATCCATCTGTCTCTGCCTCCCCAGTGCTAAGATTAAAGGTGTGTGCTACCACACCTTGAACCTCACCTGGCCCGGACACAGACAGGATTGACCGATAAATAGCTCTTTCTCTATTCCGTGGGTGGTGGTACATGGCTGTTCTTAGTTGATGGAGCGATTTGTCTGGTTAATTCCAATAATGAACAAGACTCTGGCATGCTAACTAGTTATGCGACCCCCGAGCGGTCGGCGTCCCCCAACTTCTTAGAGGGACAAGTGGCATTCAGCCACCCAAGATTGAGCAATAACTTCTCAGAGGGACAAGTGGCATTCAGCCACCCGAGACTGTGATGCCCTTAGATATCCGGGGCTGCATGCGTGCTACACTGACTGGCTCAGCATGTTCTGTCTTCCCCACCTACCTATGTTCTGACCTATCAGGCCAGGCAGTTTTTTTATTAATTAATCAATGAAAGCAACAGATAGATAGAAGACTCTCCTACATCAACAAATTATTATTTTATGATGTCTATATGTACATCTGTATATCACGTGTGTGTCCTGTGCCTTGGAGGCCAACTCTCCCCCTTCTATTATGTCATCCCAGGGCTTGAACTCAGGTTGTCAGTCTTGGCAGCATGCACCTGCTGAACTATTTGGCCAGCCCACCCTTGGGGTCTCGCCATATCCTTTTTCTATAGTGCATTACCATCTTTGTCCTAAAATAGGTAATGTATGTCTGTCCCTTACAAATGAAGAGCGCTAACACGGGAAGTATTATTTGCACACCGCTAGCCACAGTCACGCAGTTCCACATTCCCTCAGTCTTAGGGCAGTGTCCACAGGCTTGTGGCCGAAAGAACTTCTGCACTGTGCTGCCTCCCTCTGCCCTCAGCCTTTGTTCTCCACCTCTCCTTCCCTCCCCCTTTTTCTCAGAGTCACAGCTCGGACATTTTCCAACTCGACACCATGCCAGCCTTTGTGGACTATAAATAGGAAAACAAACAAGGCTGGGCAGTGAAGGAGACCGCCAGGCAAGGCAGTGAGGGACTATAATGGCCGAAATGGGAGTGCCTGGTATGCTGGATGCTTTCGGGTTGAATTGGATTTTCTTTTTCTTTTCTTTTATGGCTGGCTGGCTTTAGAGACCCCCGAGTTAGGATGGGGATGCTGTGGTCATCTGGCAGAGTGAGCTTCCAGTGTCTGAATGTCTTGGACCTCAGGGCTCAGAGCAAACAGTGCCGGGAAAGGCCCAAGGGGTTCGCTAACGTTTCTGGTTCACGATGCCCTTCTGTGAATGTGACAGTGTCACCTCCGCTTACATTTAAAGTTTTTTGTTTTGTTTTGTTTTGTTTTTGTCTACTGTTTCGTGTAAGGGAAGGGGTACATGGGTGCCACAGCACACCCGTGGATGTTAGAGGACAACTTTCTTCACGTGGACCCTGGGGACCAAACTTAGATTGTCAGTCTTGATGGCAAATACTCTGAGCCATCTCACTGGCCCTGCCTCCACTTTCGAGATGGGAAACCTGAGTCTTGGGGAATGGAGAGTCTCTGGATGCTGAGCTAGGACAATGCTCCCTCCTTCCTGAGTCCTCTGCCTGAATCTCTGGGAAGTGTTGCTGTCGAAGGTAGCTCTCCTCCTGGAGACCTCCAGTAAGTGAAGTACTTTGAGGACAGTTAGGTGTTTGGCCTGGTTTCTTTTGTTGCTTAACAGATCAACCCAGCTTGGATTATTTAGGAAAAAAAAAGTTTGTCTGGGCCTGTAGTTCTGGGAGACCAAGGGCATGGATGGCACTGGCTTCTGCAAAGCTCGTGGCAGAGGCCATGTGCAGCTTGACCTCAGGGGGTCGGCACAGGGCAAGTGTGGAGGCAAGGTCATCATGGTGTGAGAACAGGAATGTACAGTCTAAGAAAAGCATCCTCCCTCTCAGTGGCCTATTGGCTTTCTTATGGCCACCACCTCTTCACACTGTTGGATTAGGGACCAAAGCACCACAGGAGCCAGGCGCTGAGGAGCAGGCGTTTACTCTCCCACTGCTCACAATGCTGAGGTCCCCATCTCTAAGGAGAGCAGAGAGAACCATGACAAACGCAGCAGTCGCGGCCATCCCCACCCGCCTGGCCTCCATCCCATTACTGGATGTTGCCTGGCCTCCTTTAGCAGACTTGCTTCCTCTCCAGCCCATGTGCTGGCTCTAAGAATCTGCCGCAGACTGAGTCTTTGCCGGCCTCTAGTGAGAGAGTTGGAAGCTGCAGGTGGGTGAATGTGGTGACATTTCTGTTCATCCTGAGAGCTCCAGGGAGTCCCCGCACATCTCACTTCACCTCTGGGGTTGGTCTTTACCAGTGTCCACAGCAGAGGGAGGACCGAGCAAGAAACGCAGGCTCAAGGCAGGCTTCCTAGCAAAGAGGATGTTGTAGCCCCGGGAGCCAAGACAGTGGAGTCGGGATTTAGGAAGCCTGTTGATGTGGTTGACTATCTTTCAATAAAGGCATTCTTTAGGGAAGAAGGCTGTATTTTCCCTCTGTACATGCTCTCGGTAGCATCTGAAAACCTGGAGAAACCGCTTTCAGTGATTTGGACCCATCCATTTATAAATGGGGGGTGATGGTATCCCTAGAAATTGCATGGTGCTTAGATAAATCTGTAGTTTTTAAAGATTTTTTTTTATTTTATGTGTGTAAACTTTTTTAAAAAGTTCATTTTATTATATATACAGTGTTCTGTCTGTCTGTATGCCTGTGGGCCAGAAGAGGGCACCAAATCTCATTGTAGATTGTTGATGGTTGCAAGCCACCATGTGGTTGCTGGAAATTGAACTCAGGACCTCTGGAAGAGCAGCCAGTGCTCTTACCCTTTGAGTCATCTCTCCAGCCCCATGTATAAATATTTTGCCTGCACGGCTATATGTGTACCTAGTGTTCACAGAGGCCAGAAGAGGGTCTCAGATCCCCTAGAATGGCGTTAGGGATGGTTGTGAGCCACTGTGTGGGTGCTGGGAAAGAGCCTGAGTGCCCTTAACCATGAATCCATGACTTTGTTGCTCCTCCCCAACTTGTAGATTTTTGTGGGGGCAAATCCTGACAACCTGAATTCAATCTTGGGGACACTCATGGTGGATAGAACAATAAAGTTGTCCTCTGACCTCCATGTATAATCCATGACATGCACATATACAAAACGAATAAAATGTAATAAAGTAATTTTTTAAATTTATTTATTTATTCATTTATTTATTATGTATACAATATTCTGTCTGTGTGTATGTCTGCAGGCCAGAAGAGGGCATCAGACCTCATTACAGATGGTTGTGAGCCACCATGTGGTTGCTGGGAATTGAACTCAGGACCTTTGGAAGAGCAGGCAATGCACTTAACCACTGAGCCATCTCTCCAGCCCATAAAGTAATTTTTTTAATTCATAGAGTTTTTGTTTTGTTTTGTTTGGGGCTAGAGTTTCATACTATAGCCCATGCTGGCCTGAAACTCTTGGCAATCCTCCTACCTCTACCTCCTGTTGTGTGTAAACCAGCACGCTAGCTTTATAAAAATACTTAAAGAAGGGAACTAAATAATTAGAAAGTAGCCCAGGTAGAGAGGGTCAGGTAGAGGAGAGACTGGTATTTAAGAATTTATCCTGAATACAGTTGCCCTCTAAGAGTTTCTTTGTTCGGACCACACATTTTGAATGTAGGGGAAGACAGCGGATTACACAATAAATGTGGGGCTTACTAAGTAACTATTTAGAAGAAAATAAGGTTAATGATTACCTTCGCAATAGAACAGAATACATTGCAGAGATTAAATATTTACATGTTTTTTTTTAAGCCATAAAAATACTAGACAGTAACATACCTGACTGTTTATGTAACCTTGGTGTTGGGGAAGGTTTTTCTAAACCTGTCTCTGGTAAGAGGAAAGAAAAACATTTGGCAAATTTTATGTAAAACTTTTCTGAGTTAGAAGATACCATAAAAAAGCCAGGAGCTGGACAGTGGTGGCATACGCCTTTAATCCCAGCACTCAGGGATGCAGAGGCAGGTGCGGCCAACCTGGTCTACAGAGTGAGTTTCAGGACAGCCAGGGCTACATAGAGAAACCCTGACTCGAAAAACAAACCAAAAGAAGCCAGGAATAGCGGCGGCACACACCTGTTGATCCACTCACTCCAGAAGCCAGCGCTGTAGTATCCGGTGAGACCAGCAACATAGTGGGATCCTCTCGTCTTAAAAAGATTGGTAAACAGAGCCAAGTGTGGTGTTGCACACCCTATCCTAGCATTCCAGAGGCCAAGGCAGGTGGATCTCTGTGAGCTTGAGACCAACCTGGTCTACAGAGTGAGTTCTAGGACTATGTAGAGGAACCCTGTCTCAAAACAAAACAAAGACTAAAAACAAATCAAAACAATGGACAGGGTTGGGGAGGTGGCTCAGTGGGTAGAGACACTTGCTGTCAAGCCTGCTGACCTGAGTTCGATCCCAGGGCCTCACACGGTGGAAGGCGAGAATTGACTTACAAATTATCCTCTGACCTCCACATATGTGTATAAACAAATGAAATAACCATAGGCACAGCCTACTTAGATGACAAGCGGCAGAACTAAAGCATTTAAAATAGACGAAGGCCTACAAAGCTCTCCTAGTAAGCCACAAGAAAGGTAGGCAGTCTCATGCAAAAACAGAGCAAGTGAGAAAAACAGAGGTGGCTAAGAGATATTAAAAAGATGGGGTGGGGAGGAACGGCAGTGAGATGGCTCGCGTGGGTAAAGGCCAGGCCTGATGACCTCTTGAGTCTCAGGGACTTACATGGTGGAAGAGAGCCAACTCCTGCAAACTGTCCTCTGACTTCCATCTGTGTACCATGGTACACACACACACACACACACACACACTGAACAAATGAATGAATGAGAGGGAGAGAGCAAGTCAGGCATATGCCTTCAATCCCAGCACTTGGGAAACAGACAGACAAGTGGATTTCTATGACTTTGAGGCCTTCCTAGTATATAGATAGCCACTTCTAGGCCAGCCAAGTTTGCATAGTGAGACCTTGTCTCAAAGAAGTGAATAAACGCTAGGATTACAGGCCTATACTGCCATGTTCATGCAGTATTTACTAGGAATTGAACCCCGGGGCTTTCTACCACCTGGGCTAATCTGCAGCCTTATTATTTGGATTTTTGAGGTATAGATTCCCATCAGTGGCATTGCAGGATGGGTCAGAGAACAATATTTAATTCAATTAATTTATTTGGTTCTGGGGATTTACACATACTAACCATTGCTTTACCACTGAGCTATGCCCTTAGCCCCTCCCCCCTTTTTGGTTTTGATGATCTGGTAAGGGACAAAATAATTCTCCATGTATACATAGATATAAATGTCCTTCCCAGGAAGGGGAGATGACTAAGGGTGCTTGCTGCTCTGGCAAAGGATCCAAGTTTGGTTCCTAGTCCCCCTATCAGGCAGCTCACAACTTCCAGGAACCGCAGCTCCAGGGGGGCCAGTGCCCCTTCTGCAGTCTGTGGACACGTGCATCCATACATGCACACACACCCCATGTGCACAGAATTAAAAATAAATCTTTTAAAAAACCCCACCCTTTTCAAATGCTTGACAAGAATATCATTTGCTCAGGCCAGAGGGTGTATTGCACACGTGTTGGTGAGATATCTGGGGTAACAGTAACCCTCTGGGCCTCTCCCTTCCGCAGTTCCTGCTCATTTTTCACAAGGCTGCTGCCGGTGAGCTGCAGGAGGACAGTGGGCTGCTGGCACTGGCCAAGCTCTCTGAGATCAATGTTGCCCTGGAGGGTGTCCGAGGTGCCAAGAACTTCTTCGAAGCCAAGGTAAGTGTCTGTTCCTTTCCTACCCAGCCTCCACTCTTCCTTGACCCTGCCCTGGTGACAGGCACTTCCTGTCCCATTAGCTCATGCAGGACAAGATTGTACTAGGAAGTGAGAGTGTGTCCTCACAGAAGACACTGCTCACAGGCTCAGGAGGGTTTGTTGGTCCCAGGCTCCAAGGCAGACTCCCCATCTAGACCTTGATTAATTCCACAGCTCCCTTCTTTTCCATCTTTTTCCATCTGGGGTGGAGTACTGGATCGATGCTGCTCTAGAGGACTGGTGTTTGGTTGCCAGCACCTTTATTGAGCAGCTCACAGTTCTCCTAACCCCAGTTCCTGCAAGTTCACTGAACACTGAGGCACCTACCCAAAGCTAGCTGCTGCCGTCCTTGTCTCTGCAGGGCACACATGCAGACACACACACAGGAGAGCCCCTTTACATCTTCTGCCAAGCACAGCAGGGTGCAGTGAGATGGGCGCATGCCCCCTACCGGGTAGCCTAAGAGCAGCTCTGCCTCTGGTCCTCCTTGCTCCACTGGCATTGTTTCCATTTGTACTGCAGAGATACCAACAGGATTAAGTGAGCTTGCCTGTATAGTGTTATTTTTGCCTGGCTCGTGGGGCGCAGTCAGCATGTAGTCCGAAGTTGTCAGGATTGCAAGCTTCTCCTGTCATTTGCCAGCCTATGGGAGACTTTGAGTTTCTTCCATTAGCTTACCCAAGGACAGAGCAACCTTGGTGACATCCTGGCCTGCTTAGAGCTCTAAACAGAACTCCATTCTCACTTGTCGATGAGGCTGCTCGGAGATACTCTGTTGGCAAAGACCAGCCAGTGCATTGACTTCTGAAACCCAGGAGGAAGGGGGCAGAACATTTGTTTGCCTTCCTTGGGGCCCACACAGTGTGGGGAAGAAGGCCATTTACTTGTTGACATGGGAGTAGGGCTGAGGAAGGGGTCCCTTCTACTGTGATGGAGCCTCTCCATCCGTTAGTGCCTTCACGTTTGCCATCTCTTGAGACTTCTTGGGAAAGGTCCTAGGACTGAGGCCCAAGAGTAGCAGGGCAGTTCACTGCCAAGATGCACCAGGCTAAGTGCTCTAGGTGAAGCCCACGGGTCCCTGGGACTCTCTCATCTGGGCACGCAGGACTTGTCATGACTTGCCTGTGATCCTTGTTCCAGCCCCATCCAGTCCTTCAGACCTTGCTGGGAATCTTCACAACCGATCCTCAGAATCTGTAGCTCCCTTTGCCCAGAGCAACCCCTCAAGGCCTCTGTTTGGAAAACTCTTGCTTCCTTTGAACCACCTTCGAGGGCAGCCCACGCCTGCCTATCCAAGCCTGGGAAGGCCCCTGTGCAGGCTGTCCAGCCACAGGTGGAACTGTTTTGTATCTGTTCAAGGTGCTCTTGGACACTTGCAGGGACAGTGTCAAGTTAATATGCTGCCTCTGGAATGTCCCCCCTGCTGAGGCACCTGCGCACTTGGTGGGGATTTATCTGTAACACTGCTGGGGGTTTACACACACTGAACACAACCTAAGCCTCGGTTATCAGCAGTGAGTCCATCATGGCGTGACCGTATGTTTGCTTGCTCTGTAGCCATCAAAGGTGAGATGAGGCTGTGCAATATGCGTACACAGATGTCCAAAGGAAATCAAGCAAAATAATATGTGGACACCTGTCTTTAAATACCGAACACAGCCTAGATAATTACGTATGAAATTATTAGTAATAGTTACGTCAAGGGACTCACTTTATACTTCTGGAGTGTTGTAGCCTTGGTGCACATTATTTTTACAAGAAGAAAAGATGAAACGTACAAAACAATAAACCTTTTCCTACTTGCTGTGTTTATAGGTCTGCCTCCTCAACCACACTCAAAGGCAGAGTGGGCGTGTTATCTTTGTAATTACAGCGCCTGGCGTGTAATGGCCCTCAATAAACGTTTGCATGAATGACGAAGGGAGAGAAGCAGCGCTTGGATTTGGGAGAGGCCGCAAGGGAGATGATACTGGTGACAGATGCTCTCAGATGAATAGGGATTCACCTTGTAATCAAGGGAGGGAGGCGTTCTGGTCACGGGAACTGCAAGCGAAGGCTCCGAGGCATGGAGGAGGACTGGGAGTCCCAGAGGCTGAGGAGAGAACGTGGAATTGTGTGAGGGGAAAGGGCTGGGGCCACAGCTGGGAAAGCAAGACAAGATGCAAGTATGGAGACCTAGGAACTGGGCCACCACGTCCTACCGTTTGTTATGAGGTAGCTGTCTCTGACTGAGAAGGTCCTTGGAAGTAACCCCCAGGCTGAGGGATACCTGCAGACTGGCTGCCCAGGCCCAACCCACGTCTCTTTAAAACTTTTTTGGGTGTGTGGGGGTTGGGAGAGTTGTCAAGAAACAAGTGGTTGGTCCAGCACCGCAGGTGGCGTCAGGCACAGCCAGGCTGGGGTGGTGCAGCTACAGGGACTGGATGGAGAGCCCTCAGAGCTGTTTGGGCAGGTCTCACACTAGGAGGACCGTCGTCCTAGGAGAGGTTTCTACAGGTGCTTGGGGAGGAATATCAGTGTGTCCAGTGTTGTGACAATGGGGCCAGGAACCACATAAAGACACACACCTTTAAAACTTTGGTGCTCGTGACTGCCTTATTGGGAGTTTGGTGAAGACCAGCATGAGGTGTGCATTGAGGAAGGGAGCTGAGATATTTGTATCAAGAAAGCCCCTCCCCCAAGTTGGAGTGATAGGAGGAGGAACTTTGAAGATAACTTCAGGCACAGTAAAGACATGGATGAATTTGCTGGGTATGGTGACAGCTGCAAATGGTCCTCAACCAGTGGCCATATGGAGGCTGTAAAAATATCCATCTTTCTTGGAGGTCTGTGTGTCTTGCGGTGGATTATGAAGCAATTCTTCCACTTCCTATACCCACCGTTGACAATAGCTGAGATGTGGCTGTCCTCATAGCCCCTTCCTGGGGTCAGGAGTAGTGGGATCAGGCTCCACATGCCAGGTGAGCTTCCCATAGTAAGAAAGAAGGGGAAAAATAAGCTCTATGACACCCAGTAACGCAGAGGTCGGAGCCACCTTCACAAGTACATGTTGAAAAGAAGAGAATGGTCAATAGTGGATCCTAGTGGTGGCCGGACTGTGGGGAAGGCTTTGTATTATTTAGGTCTTCAGGAATAAGAAGGAGTCATCAGAGGCCCAAGGGAATACTGAAGAAAAATGTTCATTGCTGGACAGAAGCAGTTTGGGCTTTTAAAATTTTATTTCTGTTAATTATGTGCATGTATGAGTCTGTGACTATGACTGCAGTTGCCCAAAGAGTCAAGGAGGTGTCAGATGTCCCTAGACTTACAGATGGTTTAGAGCCTTCTGATGTGGGTGCCGGGAACCGAACACAGGTCCCTGTGGAAGAGCAGTGTGTGCTCCTGACCTCTGAGCCATCTCTGCAGCCCTAGCAGTTCTTTCCTCCCGCCCCATGGGTCCTATAGATTGAACTCAGATTGTCAAATCTGACAGCAAGCAATCTGGCCAGCCCTCAGTAAAGATGTGTAAGGGATCAGCTTCACCCTATTGAAGTGACTGCTTTAGGATGCACCTAGCAGGAGGAGCCCTGAGTCTCCATTACAGATGCCTGAGCAGGTGAGACGGTAGCTTGGGATTAGTAAGAACATTTTTGTTGACTTTGCAGCCTCAGAGAGAAGTCAGTATGTTTTCCTATCAGGGAGAAATTGTCTAGGAAACATGGAAATAAAAAGTAAGATGACTGAGCAGATAGGTCATGGGGTGGGGGTTTAGGGTCGGGGTGGGTTATAGAACCCAAAGGCAAGATTTGTGGTGGAGGGGATGATAGATTCCTGGGTGAAGAGATGGCAAGTTTCCCTCTTCTGCTGCCCTAGCTAGGAATGGTGGAGGGGGGTGTGTTGGTATTGGATTAGACCCCTCCAAATGCTTCAGGTTCATAGACCAACACCCTGGAGACAGGTGTTATTGTCCTGTTTTTGTGTTTGGCTTGCGACAGAGTCTCCATAGTGTAGTGCAGGCTGACCCTTTTGATCTTCCTGTAGTCACCACCGTAGTGCTGGGAATACAAGCATTTGCCACTGGACCCAACTGTGGTCTCATCTTGAAGATAAGGATGCTGAAACTTAGACAGTAGTAGCTCCTTGGTAAACATTTAGCAACAAACTGTGTCTTGTAACCCTAGCATTCAGGAGGCAAAGGTAGGAAGGTTAAGAGTTCAAGTCCACTATGTACAGAGTTCCAGATTTGTCTGGGCTACAGGAGACCCCATGTTAAAAACACAAACTGCATATGTTTGTTATAAATTCTATAAATAACATATTTTACTTTATACATCATACTTTACATAAATATTGCTCCTCAGAGGTGCTCTTTCTGGATTCTTGCATCTGTTGTCTGTTGCCAAACTGTGGTTGCAATGGACAAAAGAAAGTAGTCTCTAGGACTGGAGAGATGGTTCAGTGCTTCAGAGCACTGGCTGCTTTCCCAAGGACCTGGGTTTGATTCCCAGCACCTCCATGGCCATTTACAACTGTCTGTAACTTCAATTCCAGGACTTCCAAAACCCTCTTTCAGCCTTTGCATGTGTGCGGAGCACAGACTTACATGCAGGCAAAATAACCTGAATATATAAAAATGGTTTTTTTAAAAAATTGTTTCTGTATGAACGTTGGTTCATAGCTTAAGGAAAAAATTCATAAAGAAAACATGTATACTACAACTTCAGGCAGGGTTTGATGGTGCATGCCTAGAACCCCAGTCTTTGAGAAGCTGAGGCAGGTGGTTTGCTGCAAGTTTGAGGCTAACCTGAGCTACACAACAGGTACCAGGATTGCCAAAGCTACACAGTGAGGTTGTGTCTCAAGGGGGAAGGTGGGGTAAGTGTCGCAGCTCTGAGGGGAAAGGTATCCTAGCAGTCAGGAGCCAAGGAATGTCGTGAAGTCACACTGCACAGCAAACCTCTCACAAGAGGGTGACTCAGGTGAGGAGCAGCAGGCAACTGAGCAGGAGACAGGCTTATACTGGGTCTCTTGGGGGAGGAGTTTTCCAGGGTGGGGATTGGTGAGATTTCAAGTCCTGAGCTTGCAGCAAGCCCAGAGACAGGTAGGTTTTTGAGCTCAGAGATTGTTTTTTCTTTTGAGGGGGGGTATTGAGACAAAAATGTACTCAAAACACAGCAAAACCCCGTAATGTTTATTTATTTGGAGATTGGATCTTACACTGTAGCTCTGACTGGCCTAGAACTCTGTATGTCCAGATTGGCTTTGAACTTAAACACTCTGCCTCCTGAGTGTTAAGATTGCAAATGTGAGCCACCACACACATACCTAAATATGTAGTATTTTATAATATATGTTACCAAAGCAAGCAAAAAATGTAATATTTAAAAGTAAATTTGTTTTGTTTTGTTTTGTTTTGGAGACAGGGTTTTTCTGTGTAGCTTTGGAGTCTGTCCTGGAACTCGCTCTATTGACCTGGCTGGCCTCAAACTCACGGAGTTTCGCCTTTCTCTGTCTCCCAAGTGTTGAGATTAAAGGTGTGTGCCACCACCACCCAATTTAAAAGTAAATTTAGAATGTCTGACTGAGAGAGGCTTGAAATGTATTTTCTTTTTGTGGTTACTGAGGGTTGAACCCGGGACCTCATGCATGCCAGGTAAATCCCCAGTCATTGAATTATATTCCAGTCCAGAACTAAAATGTTGATGGGAACACAGAAACAGCATTTGAACAATAACTTATGCATGGGGCTGGAGAGATGGCTCAGTGGTTAAGAGTATGTACTCAGCTGGGCCGTGGTGATCTATACCTTTAATCTCAGCACCAGCCTGGTCTACAGAGCGAGTTCTAGGGCAGCCAGAACTCTTTTACAGAGAAAACCTGTCTTGAAAACCCAAAAAATTAATCGATTAACTAGAATTAATCGATTAATTAATTAAAAAAATGAAAGAAGGAAGGAGTGTGTACTGCTTTTCCCAAGTTTGCCTCCCAGCATCCATGTCGTTCAGAAAGCTATTATAAAGATTTCCCCTCGCAGCCCATTATCAGATGCAATTCCAATCAAGACTCCCAAGGCATTTACTTTTGTTCTTCCACCTAGACTGTATCAACGTTAAAAAATATATTTATTAATTCTTTAAGAATTTTATACGATTTTTTTTTCTGAGACAGGGTTTCTCTGTAGCTTTAGAGCCTATCCTGGAGAATTTTATACAATAAATTTTGATCATATTTGCCCCCAATTCCCCCCCCTTAACTCTTCCCAAAACTACCTCTTCCCCTCTGCCCCACAACTTGCATTCCTTACAAAAATAAAATAAAATAAAAGGCGGGTGGCCCACACCTTTAATCTCAGTATTTGCCAGTGGATCGCTGTGAGTTCCAGGCCAGCCTGGTCTACAGAGCAAGTTCCAGGATAGCAAGGGCAACACAGAGAAACCCTGTCTCGAAAAACTTAAAAAACAAAACAAAACAAAACAAAAACCCAAAACTATTGACTCCAATTTGTGTTACCCATAATATACTTCTGGGTGTGGGGCCATCCACTGGAGCATGGTCAACCTGCCAGGAGTCACTCCCAGAAGCCATCAGCTGCCCATAGTTCCTCAAGAATGGGGGCACAAAAACCCCTGCTCACTCTACTCCGTGCCAGAACGGTGACGGGCCTGACCATGTGCAGACACAGCGGCCGTGAGCTCTTGAGCACAGCTGTCACCCTTGACCTTTGGTACCCCGACCTCCAGCTCTTCCGGTTTCCACCCACTCTCACGTGATTCTCCCTGAGACTTGGAGGGACCATGATACGGGTGTCCCGTTTGTGTCCGAGCACGCCATAGTCACTTGTTCCTGGCACCTTGGCCGGTGCTGAGTTTCTGTGTCAACTGCTCCTCTATCTGATGCGAAAGGACCTTCGCTGGGAGGTCTGATAGCAACACTGATCCTGGTTCAAGGCTGGCGCCCCAGAACATAGTGATGTTGTGAGACCAATGGAATGTAAATGTGGGCAAGAGTTTGAGGAAGTGGCTTCATAGTAGGGCTGGCCTACCGTCATGAAGTAGTGGATACTCAACAGTGCCCTGAAAAAGAATCGAGAACGAGCGAGTCCAGAAAATAGAAGCGGGCAGAAGTCAGTAAAGCAATGGTATGGGCACTTACCTGGACCTCAGCAGCGACAGCTCCATTTGTCCGAGGTTTGCGGGTCCACTGCAAAGGCTTGGGTGCCGGCACCCCGTACGCTTCCCTGCCCTTACTTTGTCCTCTGTTATTTCTCTGCAGGCCCAGGCCTTGTCATGCTCCAGTAAATTTGAAGCTGAGTTAAAAGCTGAGCAAGAAGAGCGGAAACGGGAGGAGGAGACCAGGAGGCTCCGCCAGGCGGCCTTCCAGGAGCTCAAGGCTGCTTTCAGCGCCTAGACCTGCTGACCTGACCTGTGACCATAGCTGTGCCTTACTGACGCCCTGGAGGAGATGACCAGAATTTTCACATTTTTACCCTGCTGCCCTCTGCGTGAATGACCTTCCCCCCACCCCTCAACACCCCAGGCCTGTTTCTTAGTGCCTCTGGATACCTGGAGACTGCTTTTGTCCTTCCCAGGGTCCTGGCCTCTTCCAAAAGACTTGCCAGCTGGTCTTTCCTGCCTTCTCTCCTCTGCCACTATCTGTAGCTGAGACTTGTTTCTTGGAAACCGTCCTTGTTCCTGCCTGGTTCTATGTCAGCGAGTCCTGTTTATCTATGGTTGCCCGATTCTCGGATGGTTTTTCCATTGACTTCTTTTTTAGCGTCTTCCAACCTAGTTGATGGTGGGATTTGAAGGAGGACTTATGGATCATTACCTGTGCCCTCTCTAACTAGGGACTAGCTTGCTGTCACATTGCCTGTCTCCTGGCCTTTAACAGTGCCCACCCTCTTGTTCCCCCTCATCCCTTTCTTTCTATTCCAGCCGTTTCCCCGCTCCTTGTTCCTTTGCTGTAAGAATGAAAGAATTGTTGGAAGTAATATTAATGAGCAGAAGGATATCTGTCACCTGACTCCATGCAAATCAGAGTGGATCCCTGAAATTCTCAAGTGACACACCAAGAGCTTTCGAAATCCCGGAAGTCGTGACCATCCTCCAGTGTCTGATGTCAGCTCCATGGAGCTGAGGGAAAGGTACTGTCATCCACGGGACAGAGTTTTATATATTGTGAGTTCTTGGGATTTCTCACAAACACCAGGGATTGTATTTTTTAACAAAAAATTCCTAATGTCATATTTATTACTTCTCTTTTGAAACTGTTGTCTTTACAATAAAGAAAACATCTGCCCTTCTATCTTACAGCTGTTTCCTTTTAAATAAAATGTGCAAATGATCTTTGCCTTCACACCAGTGTGCTTTTGGTTTTTTTTGAATTAGGAGATGGAAGAACATGGCACTGAGTTCCTAAAGTATGGGTATGGCTGGGCAGTGGTGCTGCACACCTTTAATCCCAGCACTTGGGAGGCAGAGGCAGGCGGATCTCTGTGAGTGTGAGGCCAACCTGGTCATATATACTCATATATATATATGAGTAGGAATAGAAGTAGGATGGGCTGGGGATGGAGGTAGCTCAATGGGTGGAGTACTTGCCTAGCATGCATGAAGCCCTGAGTTCAGTCCAAGCACCACATACAACCAGTCATGGCAGTGCATTCCTGTAACTCCAGTACTCGGGAGATAGATACAGAATTGAAGGTGATGGTCATGCTTGGCTATAGAGTAAGTCTGAGGCCAGGCTGAGCTCATGAGACCTTATTTTAAGAAGTCAAACGACAAAAGCAAAAGTAGGACCTAAGTGGGTCCCCGCTGATGACATCATTCTAACACTGTCACCTGCTCTCCTCTTCCCGGAACCAGTGAGAGGGCTTTCAGTGGCTGGTAAAATCTGTAGTTAGATTTGTTCTGCTTGTAGATCCCTTGAAACTCTTACTAGGGCCTGGCTTTAATTCCTAGTACATTGTACCTTGGCATGTCAAATTTAACAAATATTTCACACTAATAAAATGATGGGTAGGGGGCAGGAGGGATGGCTTGGCGGTTAAGAACATCAATTCTTCTTCCAGAGGTCCTAAATTCAATTTCCAGCAATCACATGGTGACTCACAACCATCTATAATGAGATCTGGTGCCCTCTTCTGGGGTGCAGGTACACATGCAGGCAGAATATTGCATGCATAATAAATTAATTTTTAAATAAATTAATTAATTAATTAAATAAAATGATGGGTAGTCAGGGCCAGAGTTGAAGAGGTATATAAGGTCCTGAATTTTTTTTCTCAATTTCTCTGTAAACCTAAACTTCTCTTTAAAATACCCTATTGATGAGCAACAAGATGGTCCACCACATACAGGTGCTCACTACCAAGCCTGAAGGCTTGAGTTCGATACCCAGCCCCACACTGTAGAGGGAGGGAAGCAACTCCTTCAGGTTATCCCCTTGGTTCATTTTTTAAAATTATTTTAATTTATTTCATGAGCATTGGTGTAAATGTGTCAGATCCCCTGGAACTGGAGATACAGTTTTAAGCTGCCACATGGGTGCTGGGAATTGAAATCAGGTCCTCTGGAAGAACAACCAGTGCTTTTAACACTGAGCCATCTCTCCAGTCCCAGGTCCTCTGGATTCTACATGCATGCTTTGGGACGTGAATGTCCATACCCACACCCACACTTTAAAAAAAAATTAGGGCTGATGAAAAGACTCAGCAGATAAAGGTGCTCGCTGCCAAACCTGATGACCTGAGTTTGATCCCCGGGTCCTACATGATTTAAGGAGAGAACCAACTCCACTCCCAAAGTTCTCCTGGACATAACTGGGAAGAGGAAATTTTTTTTTCTTCTTTTTTTTTTGGACAGAGTTTCCTGTGAAACAGTTCTGGCTGTCCTGGAATTCACTATGTAGACCAGGCTGGCCTCAAATCCACAGAGATCCGCCTGCCTCTGCCTCCCAAGTGCTGAGATTAAAAACGTGCGCCACCACTGCCTGGCGGAAGAGAAAAACCTTAATTGAGAAAAATGCCTCCATAGCATTTACCTGAGCAAGCCTGTGGAGCATTTTCTTAATTTGTGATCGATGTGGGAGGGCCCAGATCATTGTGGACGGTGCCACCCACCCCTGGGCAGTTGGTTCTGAGGTGTTTAAGAAAGCAGGCTAGGCAAACTATGTGGGAACAAGCCAGTAGGCAGCCATTTTTGATAACTTCTGCTTCAGCTCTTCCCTTGAGTTCCTGCCATGACTTTCCTCCACATTGCACAGTGACTGGACCCGTGAGCTGAAATAAACCCTTTTGTCCCCAGGTTGGTTTTGATCATGGCATTTTATCACAATAGGAACCCTAAGACAGTCAGTTTGAGGCATCGGGGCTACATAAGACACCATCTCAAAAAACCAAGCCAACCGAACAGCCAAACAACCAACCAAGAAAGAAAGAAAAAGAAAAAGCCAAACAGGTAACAGGAAAAAAAAAAAACAAACCAAAAAGCTTTCTCTACTAACAGGCCAAAGTTAGAGCTAAAACTCTCAAGGGATACAAAATGTCCCACAAGAGTTCTTAGGACAAAAGATGACAGACATTGGGCTAGGTGACCACAGAAAGCGGGGGGTATGACGTCTTTGTGTCCTTTTGGTCCATGCTCCATGTCCTACAGAAGCTGCTCCCTTCCTAGCTGTAACCTCTGGTTCCCAGGCTCCATCTTCAAACTCCAGGACCAAGGCCAAAACCCAGCCCTTCCTTTCCTGGTCCTTCCCTGGGGCTCTGCAGTGACCTGACTGGTTTTTCTACTCTCCTATTGCAGGATTGTCCACTGTTGAGCTGGAATAGTCTCTGAAGTGCAATCTGTTCCTAGCATCTCCAGGGCTTCCAGCGTTGACCCTGCTCACTTGTGTTCTGCCCTCCTCCCTCCCCTTTGGAAGGCCCAGAACTGTGAAGCTGTGAGCTGTTCGTGGGAGACAGCACACCTCCAGCCTTGGACAAGCTGTTTCTGCTGCTCATTTGCACTCCCTCCTCCCTCCCACTAGTGAGCTACTTCTCCTTGTTGGCTCAGCTCGGAGGATCTTCCAGAAGCCTTCTTGTTGCTCCTGGGAGGGCAAGGAACACCTTAGGATTCCTTTTTTACCTCGAGGCTTTTCTCTGTTGTAATCTTTAGGCACTTGGGCATTCTTCAGGATTTCTCACTCTCCTTCCCAACCATCCTGTTAGTACCATGACTTTCTAAAACACACATTTGTTTACTATTTATTTTGTGGTGTGTGTGTGTGTGTGTGTGTGTGTGTGAGAGAGAGAGAGAGAGAGAGAGAGAGAGAGAGAGAGAGAGATCAGAAGACAACACATTAGAGTCAGTTCTTTCTTTTCACCATGCCGATCCCTGAGATTGAACTCAAGTTGTTGAGCTTGGTAGCAAGCACCTTGCTTTGCTGAGCCATCAAGTTGGCTGAGGACTATGAACCTTTGGGAGGGCAGGAAGTCTGCCCTGTCTGCTGCTATAGGCTTAACAAGTAACTCACAGACTTGTATGTAAATTTCACAAAGAGATGCCAAGTTTGTTGAATAGATGGAGATACACAAGGTGGGATCCTCATCACTGATGTCAGAGAACTTCTAATTACCTATTGTTATAACAAGGAAATACCCGAAGCCAATGAGCTTTGTTAGACAAGTTCACGAGTACGGTGTTGACATCAGTTCACTCTGTTGATGGCTCTCAAAGGAGACCATCAGCCTAGCATGATGGAGTGTGGGTTAGAGGAACCATGGGGCCAGATAGGACTTCCAGAGTGAGGGGGAAGCTATTCTGACTATTCTTAATACTATTTTTATCATAGCCCTCTTAGGAGAACAAATTCATGGGTCCCTGGAGAAAAATATTCAGAAGGCTGTGTTCTCTGTGACCCAAGGACCTCCTATCACAGGGTCTCATGTAGATGTCTCCACCTGTGTACTAGGCTAGATTCCCTGCAAACTGGCCTGATTATAGAAGAACAGTAGTTGAGGGGTTGAGGGGTGCTAGGGGACCAGCTTAGGGTTCCATGATGGAGGTAGCTGGTGAAGATGGCTATTTCCATCCATCCATCCATCATCTATCTATCTATCTATCTATCTATCTATCTATCTATCTATCTATCTATCTATCTATCTATCTATCTTTCCTACCCATCCATCCATCCATCTATTCATCCACCTGTCTAATGAGATAGAGTCATATATTATAATCCATTCTGTCCTTGAACAATCATGGGAATCCTCCTATCTCAGTCTCCTAAGTGCTGAGATTACAGATGTGAGCTAGCACAACAGATGACAGGAGTTTATTAAGGGTCAGTTTCTCATCTTCTTTCAGGGACCAGTCAGTTTTACTGTGTGTTGCCAATGAGAGGGCACATTGCTATTGTCTCCTTTGCTCTCCTGTTTGGGATAGAGTCTCCTTGTATAGCCCAGACTGGCCTGGAACTCATGATCTTTCCTGCTTCGGTCTACCAAAAACTGGGGTTACCAGTGAGTAATCATCAGCTATTGTCTTTTTTTTTAATATTTACTTATTTATCATGTATACAATATTCTGTCTATGTGCAGGCCTGAAGAGGGCACCAGACCTCATTACAGATGGTTGTGAGCCACCATGTGGTTACTGGGAATTGAACTCAGGACCTCTGGAAGAGCAGGCAATGCTCTTAACCGCTGAGCCATCTCTCCAGCCCCCAGCTATTGTCTTTTTTAAAGATTTATTTTTATTTTTGTATTATTATTATTTTAAGACAGGGTTTCTCTATGGAGTCTTGGTTGTCCTGGAACTCACCATGTAAACCAAATATCCAGAGATCTACCTGCCTCTGTCTCTATTTTTACTATTTTAAAATCATGTGTATGTTTGTGAGTGCAGGTATCTACAGAATCCAGAAGAGGGTGTCAGATCCTTTGGAGATAACACGTGGTTTTGAGTCTTCCAACATGGGTGATGGGAACTAAACTCAGGTCCTCTGGAAGAGCATCACTCCTCAACGATGAGCCAGCTCTCCAGGTTTGCTGTTGTCTTTTTGGTGGATAATTTTCAACATTAAAATCTCTACCTGTATTACTTATTTCTGCATTAACAAACCATCTGATGACTTAAAGGCTTAAAATACTAATTAACATTTATCAGCTCCCTGAATATTTGAGGGCGAGGGATTCAGAAGCCGTTTAATTGGGCGAGTCTGACTCAAGGGCTCTCGTGTGGCGGCCATGTGCAGTGCCATCATCTGAGGCTCCACCAGGGCTGCAGAATCTGTTTCTAATGTGACTCACGCCTGTGGTTTAAAGGTTGGTGCCGGCTGTTGGCAGAAGGCCTCAGTCGCCTGCCACGGAAACATCACTGGGCATCTTGAGCGTCTTCCCAATGTGGCGAAGCACTTGCTGCACCTCTGGCCTTTCCCCAAGGAAAAAGGTGCCTTTGGCTCTCAGTGTCGGTTTGTGTTGATGTGTAAGCCACCTGTGGACAGACTGCCTGGGTGCGGTCAAGGGTTTTATTGTTAGAAAGAACACAGGCTGGGGTGGATTTCAACCCAGCACAACTGCTTCAAGAGAGTACAGTGTAAGTCATTGCGGCCTTTTAAGTTGTCGCTTCAGAAAGCACACTGTCATTTCCCCAGTATCCCACTGATTACATAGGTTAGCTTTACTGAGAAGAATCGGCAGGAGTCATCTCGGAGCTAACCATTATAGAATCAGTCAGAGTTCTTAATCACCAGTAACAGAATCTGATTGAAACAGGAAAGGAATCGATTGAGAAGGCACCGATGAGCTCCCAGAATGACTAGCAGAGGGACAGAGTGGGTATCAAGCTAAGAAAATGGGCATGAGGCCAGGCAACTGGGACGCAGGCCAAGAACACACCCTGGGAAATGGCCAAGGATAGCGCCACTGTCCTAGCCGCTCAGAACTCTGTGGTGTTATGCTTCTTCGGGTCATTTCCTCTGGCTTCAAACTCTGGGGTTAAGCTCAGTCATGTGCCAAACGAATTGGGGTTGAGGGATAGCATCTAGGTTTTTCTTTTCTAAAGGGAAGCAGGTGCTGCCAGGTGCTGCTTCACACCGACATTCTTACTTACCTCAAGCATGGGAAAGTATTCCAGGTGCGGAAGTCCCTCGAGAGTGGCGGGTGTTCACTGCAGAGGCATCCCTGGTTTTTTTGTGTTTGTTTTTTGACAGGGTCTCACTGGGTAACAAAGGCTGGCTGGGAACTCACAGTCTTCCTGCCCCAGCCTTCCTGGAGCTATGATAAGAATATCCATGGCTGCTCCCACCTTTCTTCATGACTTTGGACCTTGGAATATTTCCTGTAGGTAAAAGGTAAAAGTAGAGAAGGAAATGCATTTAAGAGAACATCCACAGTAGTCTTCCCTTCTTTAAAAAGATATATTATTTTTTAATTTATTCTTAGAGAGGGTCATGCGTGTATACAATGTATTGATCTTGTCCACTCCCCTGTTACCCATCTCCAGCTCCTCCCCAGCCTAGTATTCTTTCTAACAATAAAACCCTTGACTGCACTCAGGCAGTCTGTCTACAGGTGGATCACACAATCGACACACTGAAACCAAAAAGACATGTTGTTTCTTGGGAAAAAGTTAGGGGTACAGCAACAGGCCTAGTAATGTTGCGTATTTTGCTTGTCTGTTTTAGATGGGAGACATAAAACACTGTCTCTGTCCAAGAAGACCATACGTTTCACAAGAGCGGCAACCAGGTGGGTTTTGGAGTAGCTATTGTATCCCCAGAATGGAGTAGTGCTGAAGACACAGGGGTCCATTGTCCTTGTTCATATACGCAGAATTGGTACACATGAAACTGAGGGAAGGAGTCATGGTGCTATACGCCGGGGTGAAAAGATGTATCCAGTTTTTTTCCCTTTATTTTTTTTTTTGAGATTCATTTATTTTTATTTTATGTGTGTGTATGTTTATGTGAGGGTGCCAGAACCCCTAGAACAAGAGTTACAGACAGTTATGAGCTGTCATGTGGGTGCTGGTAATTGAGCCTGGGTCCTCTGGAAGAGTAGCCCATGCTTTTAGCCTCTGAGCCAACTCTCCAGCCCCCGTTTAGGTTTTGAATTTTAAAAGAATTGTAACTCTGTAAGTAGATATTGCTTTCATACTATAATAATTCCGACTACCATTGCTGCTATCTTTATTTTTCATAATAGAGTCTTTGTATTTCAGGTTGGCCTTGAGATTGACATGTAGCCAAGGATGACTTTTGACTTCTAATTCTCCTGCCTCCACATCTTGAAGGCTAGGATTAGAGACTTGTGACATCATGGTTTGTTTCTGCAGTGTTGGGGATCCAATCCAGAGCTTTGTGTATGGCAGGAAATCACTCTACTTGCTGAGCTACCTCTCCCACCAGCTGCTGGTGTTCTTAGTAATAATGACCCGGATCTGGTACTGGGCATGTTGGCTCATGACATTCAGTGGCAGGAGGATAGCTTCAAGTTCAAGGCCAGTGTTTGATGCAGAGTCCATGGAGGAACAATGCTTACTGACTTGTTTCTTTTAGTGCGTTCAGTTTGTTTTCTTGTACACCTCAGGACCACCTTGCCCAGGTTTGGCACCATCTACAATGGGCTGGGGCTGTTTCCATCAACCATCAATCAAGAAAAATGCCCGAAGACTAGGCTATATAGGCCAATCTTACGGAGGCATGTTCTCGATTAAGTTTCTTGCTTCTGGAGAGAACCAGTTTGGAAGGTATCCTCTGATCGCCACATGCATCATGGCATGAACCTCCTCCCTCAGCATACACAGTGAGTAAATAAATGTAATAAAAAATACTAAAAATAACTCCTTCTTTCCAGATAACTTTACCTTGTGTCAAGTTGACATAAAACTAGCCATCACACTAGCCTGTCTTATCTGGTGTGACAGAGTTTTACTGAGCAAACACAACACATACATGTCTATTCACCTCAGTCAGGGCTCCCACTACAATACAGATACAATGGGTTTTATTGGGGTTACTTACAGGAGCAGAAATTACTCCAAGATGGTTACTTAGGCTCAAAAGGGGTATTGCTGAGTTTTAAGGTAGATATTTGCTTAATTTTGAGAAATTGCCGAAAGCGGCCGTGCCAGTTTGTACTCCCGGCAGTAGAGTTTTCTCTTTACCCCATATTCTCTTAAGCATAAGTTGTTAACAGTATTTTTAATCTTAGTCATTTTTACAGAGATAAGATAAAACCTCAGAGTTTTAATTTGCATTTCTCTAATGGCTTAAGGATGTTATGTTTAAACATTTTTTAAGTTTCATTTCAGTCATTTTAAGTTCATCTGTTGAGAGTTTTCAGTTTAGGTCTATAACATACATTTTTATTGGTTTTTTTTTTTTTGATGACTAATTTCCTGAGTTCTTCATAGGTTTTTAGAGTGGATTTATGATAAGTAAAGATCTTTACTTTACTTCTCAGTTCAAGAGGTCTCATTTATTAATTGTTTCTCCCAATGTTTGTGCCACTGAGGCTGTGTTTGAGATGTGCCAAAGTGTACTTCTAATTTTTCTTCTGTGAGGTTCAATGTAATTTTCTATGTTGAAGCCTTTGATTCATTTAGACTTGAGTTCTATACTTGGAGATGGATGTGGATCTATTTTCATTCTTCTACATGTTAATGTCTAATGAGTCCAGCATCCCTAGTTAAATATGCTTTCTTTTTCCATTTTCCTATCAGCTAGACAGACTTGCAACTTAAGAGGAAGATACTTTACAAACTTCTAATTAGATATACAATGGTTAAAGCCCTAGTTATAATATTCTTATGAGAGATATTGAGCCACTAGGTAAAATTCTTAAAGGGAACAATAAGCCAATATCCAATAGAGAGCTTATAGAAGCTGCCAGACAGGTACTCAAGCAGGTAAAGTATAGATCAACAGGTAAAATATACAATAATCAACAAGTACAGTATATTAATTATGATTCAGCTATGGCTAGTGTGTGTATTAAGTACAAAACTTATTCTACAGCAGTTTTATGAAAAAACAAAATGCTTTTTATGGCTACACCTTCCCAGTTTTGCCAGTTAAGATATTAAACTCTTAATTTAGAGCAGTAGCCTATCTGGTACAAAAGAGCAGGATGAAATCTGGAGATGGTCTGAGAGAATATTGACTACGATCAATATTTCTTATACTAAGCAATAGATTAATTAAGAATTTTTAAATAGTAATTGTTGGATAATTGTGTTTACTCAATTCAAGGGCCAAAATAATAATCTTTTCCCAGATGATCACTGCCACAATTCATACAACTATATTTTGCTAATGTTATAGCTAAAAATCCCTTCAAGGATGTTATGCTAAATTTTACACAAGGCTCTTCCAATGGAAGAATTGCATATATGGTTAATAATAAAAAAAAATTGTGAAGCGTACCATGGATTCCTTGAAAACAACTTGGAGGATAAAAGTTGCAGACAAATCTGATACAAACAGATCTGACATGATGGCACCAAGGTGACCTTTACTACAGCAAGGTTAAAAAATCCCTTGCAATGAATTATAAAAAGACCTGACCTATATATATTTGGGGTTGAGGATATGTTTGTACTTTTTTCACAGAAAGAAAATAAATCTGGACCTGATTACATCGTATCTGCAAACACCCCATAAAGGAGTTCCAGAAACAATTGGAGAGAAATCCTTGATCCAGTCTTCCCTGCCCCCACAGAGAGGAGGGCCTGACAGCAGGACCTGCTAAGCCACTCTACACTGCACGGCCATTCTGCCTCCAGAGAGTCTGCACAAAGAGACCCCGCTGAGATAATTGCCAAGATGTGCTTCAGGTAGCTGAATTCTGCTCACCTCACCCAGCAAGGCCACCTGCCCCGATGCTGAGCTGCTTCCAGACTTGGGACACAGACCCAGAGGCCCCGCTGTGACTACAATTTTCTGCGGTTTGAATCCTGTTTGCTTCCGAGATGCAGACTAAATATCTGACTGTTTTAATCTTTGGGACACAGAACTCATTTTGATTAAAATATTAACACCTCTTCACTTAAGAAGGGGGCAGACTGGGGGTTTGACTGTTGCTCAGAGACTGGAACTGGTGTTTGATAACAGCAATGTCTGTCACTGTACTGTTACTGGAATTGACCTAATGGTATTTGTAACTGCTGATAGATGTTGGAAAAAGTTTGACACACCCTGTAAAATGTTTGGGTTTAATGCATATGTTAAGAATTTTAGGTTTTGATCCCTTTGCGCTGCCCTAAAGAAAAATGTTGTTTTTATACTGATCACACCGGGATAGTCAGAGATAGCATGGCTAAGGTCAGAGAAGGATTAGAGCGTAGAAGAAAGCAGAGAGAGCAAGAGGAGGGGAGGTTCAAAACCTGGTTCTCCACCTCCCCCTGGGTCACCACCCTCTTACTTTCCCTTTTGGAACCCCTTTTAGGATTTTTATTATTGATGGCTTTTGAACCGTAGGCCCTTAATATGCTTACTAAGTTTGTTCACCAACAGGTGGACTCTCTAGCATCCAAGCCCATTCAGGTCCATTATTACCAGCTTGATCTGGCTGATCGAAGGCCAGAAGAAGCCCCTTGAGAGCGAGTCTCCTCTTGGAGCCACATAGAACCCAGAGATATGCGTGTCTGTCCACAACAGACATGAGCACCAGCCAAAGGGGTGCGAGGCAAAGCACTGCAGGGAGAAGACCACACATTCCATCTCTGGGTCTCCTGAGGAACATGCCTGATTGCATAGAGGTTGATGTCCAGAGGTATTGATATAAAAACCTAGACCCTCTCCTCCCCAAAAAGAAATTTGTAATTTTGAAAAGAAATTTCTTCTACCAAGTTGGAAAAAAAAATTTCCCCCACCAATTAAACTTAGGAGGATCAGGCCTCTGTTTCTCCCCACTGGTTAATGCCCACTCATCTACCAAGATGACCTTTAACACGCCTCATTCTAACACTTAAAAAAGGCAGACATGCTGGAAGCAAAGACCTGTATTTTGAGATCTGTATTTTGTTTACAGCCATCTTAAGTTCACAAGTAAAATATCCACCTATCCCGGACCTAGGAAATTAGTCTAGTGAGACCTGCAGGCTCCAGAAACAATTAGCATTTCCTTTGTCAGTGAACAGTCATAGACCCTCAGTGTTTCCTTATCAACTAGGGATGTCTCCAAACCTGAATTCCAGCAGACCCTACACCATCCCTTCCCCTCCCCTTTACCTGTTTGCTATATAACAGCTTCTGAGGAATAATAAAATTTGCGGCTTAATCAGAAATCCTGCCTTGCTCTCGTTTTCTTGTGTCTCTTGTCCCCTCCATTCCTCTTTCTCTTCTAGGTTTATCAGGGACTCTGTTCGTATCCCGATGGCCGGGATAATGGCCTACGCCAGCACAGATGACATCTCTTGGATGCTGGGGACCTGAAACAGACTACATAGCCTGCAGGCAGCTCAACAGGTTGGAAAGTATTCTTTCTAGGAACTCAGCTGCCTAAGCCTTGTACAGAGACCTCAGTTAGTTTCTGCTTCTTCCAGGAGGCCTGTCTGGTCTGAGAGTTCTTTGAAATTTGTCTTGACTGAGAGCGACTCTCTACAGTCCTTAGTGTTTACTCTTGGGAGGGAGGGACCTAGTGAAACTGCTCAGTTTTAGGGACTTCCTGAAGTTATTTTGAGTTCTTTTTTACGTTCTGTTTTAAGGAGCTTCCCTTAACTATTTTAGCCTTGGAGGAAACAGCTACAGAACACCTAGACTACATGAAACCATGTTTCAACCTTGCACCTTACCACAAAAGGGGAAAAAGAAGACCAGGGAGATGATTTAGTGGATGAATTGCCACCAAACCTGATGACCCGAGCTTTATCCCTAGAACCAACTCCTGATCTCCACACGTGGGTTGTGGCACACACACATGCACACACAGAGTAAGTGTAACACATTTCTTTCAGAAATAAAAAAACAGTCTGGAAGGAGTGATGTACACTTATAATGTTAGCACTCAGGAGATTGAGGTAGAAAGATCTTGAGTTGGAGGCCAGATTGGGCTATGGAGCTCCATGCCAGTGTAGGTTACACAGAAAGACCCTTCCTCCATCTCCTTCCTGAATAGACACACAAATAAAAAAGAGATGGTGTCTGTTTCATTTCCTCTTGCTTGGGATCGAATATCTTTAGGGAGAATTGTTTTCCTCACAGTTCAACACACAGACCATCATGGCTGGAAGTCAAAGCATCAGCTTGAAGCTGCTGCTCACATCAGGAGATGGGGATGAATGAACGCTGCTTCTTAGCTCCCTCTGTCCACTACACAGCCCAGAATCCTGGGCAGTGAATGGTGCTGCCCGCAGTAGGTCAGTCTTCCTATCAAGATAATCCTCTGTAGGCATCTGTAGAGGCCTATCTCCCCTGCCATTCTAGATTCTGGCAACAGTTAACACTAACAATCACAGATAGGAATGTATGACCAGAAATACAACGAGAGGAACATTTCAATTGTGTGTGAGAACTCTGGGATAGCAGAAACACGAACCCCTAAACATGTTTTTGGCAGTTTGAATATGACTGACCCCGTAATCTCATAGGGATTATGGCACTCATAGCTCTATAAGGAGGTGTGGCTTTGTTGGAGGAAGTGTGTCACTGTGGGAACAGGTTTTAAGGTTTCCTATGTTCATAATACTTCTGTGTTTCAGTCAACTTCCTGTCCCCTGCAAACCAAGATGTAGCCAGTACAATGTCTGCCCGCATGCTGCCATGCTCCCTGCCATGATGATAATGACTTGAACCTCTGAAACTGTAAGTGAGACACCCCAATTAAATATTTTCTTTATAAGAGCTGCCATGGTCATGGTGTCTTTTTACAGCAATAAAAACCCTAACTAAGACAATGTTAAAAATAGAGGAAATAGATACTATTGGGCCACACCAGGGAACATGAGGTGAAACAATGCATATCTTGTCAAGATTTTTTTATGGCTTAATTTTCTTGGGATGTTTTTGTTTTATTTTGTTTTTTGTTTTTTTTTTTTTTTCGAGACAGGGTTTCTCTGTAGCTTTGGAGCCTGTCCTAGAACTAGCTTTTGTAGACCAGGCTGGCCTCAAACTCACATAGTTCTTTCTGCCTGCCTGTTTGTCTTCTGAGTGCTGGGATTAAAGGCATGTGCCACCACTGCCCGGCTTTTCTTGGGCTTTCAAAGATTGAAAAAGAATTTTAAATGTCCAAGAAGTTTTATAGTAAAAGTATGCTTTTGTAAAATGTAAAAATGGATTTATTTCCATAGTTATCTGTATGGCCTCTCCTGCTGTTTCCTTAGATCTCTGGTTTGCAATCTTTAGACAATCTTCCTTGAGTTTTCCCTTTGTTTTCTATGTCAGCCCTTTAATAGTCCTGTATCAGCCCATTTCCTTCACTATAACAATATACTGAAGCTTGGTAAGTTTTTAAAGAGAAGAAGCTCACGTTCAGCTCACACTGACCCTGCTGCCTCATCCTTCTGAGTGCAGAGATTTTAGGCCTGGCTTTATTTCTCCATTTTTACAAGGGTGCCAGCCATATTGGATAACGGCCCATTCCAACTTAACTCATTTTATCTTGAGTAAGCTTTGAAGACCTGTCAGTAGATTGGTAAAGTCACATTCTGAGGTACTTGGTGGTTAGGATATCAGTATACCTTTTGGGGAGACACAATTGAATACATAATCATGATGCTCCAGATTCTGCTGCTACGAACAAATGAAGGCACAATGGCTTCAAAGGTCCATTTTATTATGCTGATGAAGTCAATGGATCAGGAATTCAGACAAACTGCCATGAAGGTGCTTGTCTCTCTTTCATGATGTCTTGGATTTAGATGCCCTGGGATGACCTGACTGGCAGGGCCAGATTCATCTAGTGGCTTTTTCCACTCTGACGTCTGGCTGTGGGCTGAGACTCCAGTTGGTGCTGTTGATGAAGAAGCCACACACATGGGCTTCTTGTGGTTTAATCTCAAGGCATGTTTTAATTAGCCTTCATTGTCAGTTTGACACAGCTTGGAGTCATTCTCAGAGGATCGGCTTTCCCACTGAGGAACAGCCTAAATTAGATTGGCCTGTGGGCCTGTTGGTGGGTTCTTAATTGATGTAGAAGGCCTGGTCTACTGTAGGCAGCAAAATTTCCTGGGCAGGCAGTTCCAGGTTGTATAAGAATGCTAGCTAAGAATGGGCCTAGGAAGAGCCTAGCAAGCAACCCTTTCCATAGTTTCCGTCTTGAGTTCCTGCTTAAATTCCTACCATGACTTCCTTCAATGAAAGACTATGACCTGGAAGTGTAAGCCAAACAAATCCCTGAGTTGCTTTTGGTTAGTTATTTACATCCCCGTCAACAGGGTTTCTCTATATAGCCCTGGTTGTTCTTGAACTCAGAGATCCACCTGCCTCCAGTGCTGGGATTAAAGGTGTGCACCCCCACTACCTGATTAGTGTTTTATCACAAACAAAAATGAAACTATAACAAGTAGTCACAAGACGCTTGGACTTAGTGATAGCTTTGCTTCAAAAGAGACGGGTTAGGCAAACAGGATGAAGCTGTGTTACCCCCTCAAAACCTAGCCCTGGGGAGTCTGTCATCTTACTTCCTCTATCCCCTGTTCATATAGGGACTCAAAGGAAGGGAAGTTGACTCTGCTTCTAGAAAGATCAGGGAAGGTTTTAGAAGAATATGTTGAATGGAAGATTTGGTCAAGGCCATTTTAGAAAAATAGAGCTGGGTGGTGGTGGCACACGCCTTCAATCCCAGCACTTGGGAGGCAGAGGCAGGTGGATCTCAGTGAGTTCAAGGCCAGCCTGGTCTACAAAGTGAATTCCCAGATTGCCAGAGCTGTTACACAGAGAAACTCTGTCTTGAAAATAAAAAAAGAGAAAGAAAAAGAAAAATATAAACTGTCATAAACGCTGAGCCCAAGTTCATTACAAATTACACCCATTTTGGATTAAACTCCTTAACTCCACTGTCATTTATTTGCAAGTGATTTTTTATTACCAATGTCTTATTTCTAAGAATGATACAGTGAAGTGGAAGCTGCTAATTTTTTCTAACTAGAACACTTATCAGTCTACTGGCTGAGAAATGAGTCTGCTGTTGCTCTTTGGTGGACCCTCAGAGAGACAGTGTGGCTAAAAGAAGAAAGGAACATGCCCTTCCTAAGGAGTACATAACGGACAGTTTGGTTCTAAAGGCGTTTGTTGAGCATTTACCATGTGTAAATGTTGCCAAGATGCAGAGCTGAATAACGTAGTATGCACTGTGCATAAAAGCATGGGGTTTCGTCAGCTTTTATCACCAACACCATCACCATCATCACTCCCTAGATTTGGTTCTCGCTTTCTGTAAGCTTTTAAATTAGGAAGGAACATACAGCCCAGGCACTCTGCAAAAGTTTGGCTCCTTCTGATGACGTCAAGCTAACATGATACAGCTGTCCATCCCTTTCCAAGTGAGAGGAAAAAATACCATCTTTCATTGAGAGCCATACCCTTGCTCAGTAGGGTCAGCATTACCTGGAGGCTGGGAGTAATACGGCACTCCATTTGCTCTTTCAGACTGCTGTGTTGCTGAAAGCTATTCTCTGCTAGTCATATTTCCCCTTTCCTTTGTCCTTTCCCATTGTCTGAATTACCTTTCCTGTTGCTGTGATAAAGTATCCTGACAAAGGGCCTGGAGAGATGGTTCAGAGGTTAAGAGCACTGACTGTTCTTCCAGGTGCTGAGTTCAATTCCCAGCAACCACATGGTGGTTCAAAACTATCTGTAATGAGATCTAGTGCCCTCTTCTGGTGTACAGGTATATATGCACACAGAACACAATATAATAAATAAATAAATAAATCTTTAAAAAATTAACTTCTTAAGAGATAAAGGGCTAGCCCAGCATGGTGATGCATGCCTTTAGTTCTAGCCCTTGGGAGGCAGAGGCAGTCAGATCTCTGTGAGTTCGAGGCCAGCCTGGTGTACAAAATGAGTTCCAGAAAAACTCTGTCTTGAAAAACGAGAGGGGGGGAGAGGAGGGGGAAGAGGAGAGGAGAGGAGGAGAAATAGAGAATTTAAGAATATTTGAGAAATTTAATAATATTTGTAAAAAAGAAAAAGTTGGTGGGAAGAATCATGATAAAAGGGCTGGAGGATGTAGTTCACTGGTTGAGTAAAGCCCTGGGTTGATCCCAAGCTCCAAATGAGGTAGAGGGATACGAAAAGACTAATGGCGCCAGAAAGATTGTGATGATT